ACATATAACCAGTTCGGTTCTAACTACCATGTTCTTTGAATTATTGCAGTAAAACACATAACATTGTGCCTTTAGAACCAAACTCTTGAAACTAATAATTGTTTTCTTTTTTGCAAGATAGGTTTTGGTTCCAAAATAGAAAATAACTTGAGCTTGAGACAATCAGCTGTTTCTCATTATTCAAAAAAATAATAAAATTCAGTACTATACCAAGTCTAATGATGCCACTGGAGCTGGTGTTTAATACCATCAATTTTCTACAGTATTTGCACTGATAATTTCTGTTAGTCAGGAAAGCAAATATATCCCCCTTGCATCTTCAGTGTCACTTTTAGTACCATTTGCATGTAGGGGAAGAATGAGATTTCAGGGAATGTTCCCTTATAAGTTGTAATTAAAAAAATACCCAAACCACAGAATACTCTTGAATTTCAAAATTGCTAAATATGACAGAAACTAAGCAAAAATATGACAGCAAATATTCAGCTTTCATAACTATGGCTAAGACCTCGTGATAGACAGCTGTGGGCTGCAGACAAGTATGTGACATTTGTATCTTCCTCAGAGAGCAGCCTGAAGCCCAGGGGGGAGATACTCACTCATCCTTCTCCAGTGAGTACGGGGAAGTGACACAACTGCACTTCTCCGAGAAAAATGCATCCAGATTCACCTACCAGAGCTCTCCTTCCCCCAATTTCGCCCCGTGGATTTTTCTACAAACTTCAATGCTTTTCTTCTTTACACACATTATTATAAAGCAGGTACAAGATAAGCTGTTTATTACTCTAGTCCATTTCAGGGGGGAAGAAAATGACCCCTGTTTGTACAAAGTCTCAAATTATAATGTATGGACTTCTGACATATTAAACACAGAATTAAATTTCATTTTGCAACGCACAGTTAATCTCAGAGGCCTTTTTTTAAAGCTGAATAATAATAATAAAAAAAGCTACAGAAACTCAGAATCATATTCTCTGACAAAGAAATTTCTTGGGTTTTGCCTTTTCTGATTTTTAAGATCATTCTACACTCCATATTACCGTAAAAAGTCTGCTTCCAGATCAGCAAAATTCTGTCTTGACAGTAACATACCAAACCACGTCTACATAGAATGATCCAAATTCTACAGAGCAGACAATGGAGGCATTTGTTTAATATACAGTTTTTAAAAGTAAACGTGTTATATGAATTTCACCTCCTGATTCAGTAGAAGCCAGTATTTAATTCAGTGCACAGCGGACTATTCTTCGCTGCTAACATTGCTTATGGATCATGCACCACAGTCTTGCTTTAGAAGACTATGGTATGGAAAACTTAGTGATCTAGAGATAATGAATGCTGGCAGCTGGGGAGAGATCAAGCATTCATGTTTTCCTTTCGGAAGTAAGGTGGAGAGAGTCTCAGCTTCTGTGGGTGAGGTAGATGCACAGAGGTAAAAGGAGCTGTGCCGACTTATATTAGCTGGGACTCTAAACTAATTTTATTGCATGTCTTCATTACAGCAGGCCTGATGCAAAGGTCCCCAGCTATGCCAGTTGACTTCACTGGGAATGCTGAAGAAAGTCCAAACAAAATGAGGTATGTGCTTAATATTCTAAAACATTTCTAATACATGTTTATCTCTTATTCCACTGTCATTGCTGTCTGTCATCCTAAAGTCCTCAGTTTTATCTAGTGCCTCAAGCTAGTCCACATATGACTGGCCTCAGCCAGAAGTGCTGGTGACAGATAAGAAAAAAAATATGAGCCTAAATAGGAATACATGCCTCTCCAAACAATGTCTCTTAAAGAAACCATCTGTGCAGGATTTTCAGACCTGGGTCTCAGATGTGAAGGGCTATACAACTGTCTCCCTAGATAAGTAGCTAAAACCATTTGTATTTGACTTGCCAAATATTTACCAGCAGTTATCACATTCAGCAAACTATTTGATTCACCCCTGTGTAGTGCACACACCTTAATTTGATTGGTGTGACAAATGGCTGAGTAGCTCATAAAGCCAGACAGGAGGTATCATGTTCCAGGGCACTACAGCCTGTCTGGGATTATCAAAAGATCAGCTGTCAGAAAGAGGGTGGAAAAAAAAAGAAAAACCCGTGGATTACTGAAAAGAAATTAAAAGCTACAATATCAATCATAACTTTGCTATCCCCTTCTATATTGCAGACAATACAGGAAGAAAATAGCTTGTCATATTTTAACATAATAAAAATTAAAAAGATTGTATGCAAAGTAAAAGATTGTATGCAAAGTAAATGGAACTATAATTGTCAGTGTACTGTTAGAGACTGAGGAATTTAACTTATGGTTCTGCAGTAACCACAACCCTATGCTGCATGCATGCAGTTATCAATTAAAAGCAGTGTAATGATCTCTGAAACATTCATATGTACATGTAATATGCCCAAATTGAAGTTGTGGAAATGATTATTTCCTTTGTTAAAAATCTCCGTGTTGTGTTAACACTGGGTTTAACTGCCTTTTTTGGCTGGCAGTAAATAGGAGTGGGTTGCATTAGTATATTACTAATAGACTAAATTTTATATAAAATGAAATAATTTTTATCTCCAAGTCTTAATGAAGTGAATAAAACAAAGTCCTGTGACTTAAAATACCAGCATGAACTCCCACTGAAATCATAGTTCTATCAAATTTCCTTAAACTCTATTCCTTGCATGGCTTATTTTTTCTAGTGTTACTCGAATTTTATGATTTACCAAACTATAATCATAATGCATACTTCATTAAGATAATCATACACATGGGAATATGCTAAAGGAGAACAGAGTAATTATTTGAGAAATCTTATTTAAATTATTTCTGTATTACAATAAACATGCTGGTTTATATAAACAATCTGATTATTTTTATATGATAATTATTATATAATTTGCATACTGAGGTGCAGCGTGTATCCCATATCTATATGATATCATATATACATAATCTATATGATTTCACACTGTAACTAAAACAAATCAATCAATCAAATCCATATTAAATATTAACTGGATGGATGAGAACTATGAGAAAGGCCATTCGTTGGTTGTTTAGTCAAAGGAAGGGCAGTCATAATATATTGGTAGCCCAATAATAACTCAGAGACTGTAGCGTTTAGAAAGCTGATTCTATATCTATTTGTTGAGTGCAAATGAATGCATCTATTATATGCAATTTACCTCATAATCTTGGAAGTCTTTTGAATCTACTGCTGTTCTCACAAATTTACTCCAAACAGAAATGTCTTCTATGAGGATTTTTTTCTCAAAATCATCAGACTGTCTTGAGAACTAAAACTTGTTGTCCAAAGAGACTCAGCAAAATCTAGGTATTGAAATGTCTAATTCACTTGAAAGGGATTTGATATACAGGCTCCTAAATCACCAACTTGCTGTTAAAAAAAAAAAGTCCCATTTAACCCATCTAATTTTCAGCAGAGTTATTTTAGTTGCCTTCAATCTTGGGAAACTGAAAATATGTGGAGATGTACATCGTATGGAAGCTCATTCATGTTACTGACTTACATGCAAAGAACATGGTAAATGGTGAAGGGATTTTAGCTAAATTTTGTAAAACCACCCGAAAGAGAGATGTCAAAATCCTAATAATCTTCTTATCTCATCTGGCAGCTATAAGACTAGAAAAGATTTTGGAAGGGAAGAGCAAAGACCTATACTGAGATGGAAGAGAGTCAGATGGTTGCAAGGAAGCATTGGTGAGTTTGCTGTAAATTAGTCAAAATTATTTTGCATCTGCCAAACCTGTTCTGTGACACAGATATGTGACCTTCATAGGCAAAATGGTAAACTCTGTTGTTTACACTAAGTACTTTGTCACTTTTCATACCATCTTCTTTTTAGTACTTATCATTTAAGTATTAAACTTAAAAGTACTGGAAATACCAAATCCAACTGGAAGCTGGAAGTTCCAGTTCCAACTGGAAATTGGATTAAATGATTGGATATACCTTATAAATAAGCCCATAAGAACAATGATTCAGCCCCTTCAAAAAATAGGTTGATCTAAAAAACAAGTATTTTGTTATTTCCTGGCTGACATCTTGCAAAATAATCAGAATCAAAAACCCACTACCATTAAACACAAACTGTTATAACCCTTATTTGATTTGATATGGGTGGTGCTTATGTTCTTTTGTGAAAAACCTCATGAAGTATTTTACACCAACCAAGCCCAAAGGCTGTGATCTATAGAATACCATAATGGGAAAGAAACAAGACTTATTAATAGTATGTACTTTTGAGTGTATTGATATTAGAAATGACTAACATTTTCTTTTAAATAATTTCTAACCATGGCTTGTATCTATCTTGACAAGTTTTTCAACCTGAAATTGTACACAGATTTTTCTTCTGCCACCATCTGAAGCGCTAGGAAAGTTAAACTTGGAAAAGTCTTGTAAGCTGTCATCTTCATTTACCATACCTTTTTGCCTACTGCAAGTGAGGACACACATTCTCTACAGCTTTTGGTAAAAAAGACATCTTGTTCCATTCTTAAGATATTTTTATCACCATACCACATGTTAAATTTGGATTATCTTTGGATACCCAGCCTATTTCTGATAATTGAAACTACTGGAAATAAGAAATATGTGAACAGAAGAATAAGGAAAAATGCATTACAAATAGGAAACTATGCTCTTTTTATCAGAATAAGCAAACAGCTTCCATATCTCTCTCCCCATCCTATCAGGCTTACTTGTCCATCCCTGTTCTTTGTTTCTTGAGTGATCAATTGGAAAAATAATTGTGCTACTTCAAACTGGAAAAAGGACTGGACTACAGCTGTTCCAAATATCCAGATAGTTACCTGTCACTGTCTTCACTGCTACCTGAATGCTACAGATACATGGGTTAAAAAAACAGCCAATCCAGCAGCCTACTTGCTTGAGTCAGTCTTTCTGCCACATTTTCCTACCTCCATTTTAATTCACTGATCTCATTATATGATTTAAAATTTGAAAGGTCCATACAACTTACTGTTTTGTGCCAGAGCTTGAAGCAGACAGTCCAAGCATCCCTCCAAGCTATCTGCTGTGCTGTCAGTTGTTGTTATCTTCAGCTTTTTCAGGGCGTCACTTAAATTATCTGCTTGGTAAACACAAAGAAAAGAGAAATCAGTGTCCTCATCAATGTAGTAACAGCATTATAGTCTTGAATGTAAATAGTTACTGTAAAGTAAACAAGATCCTGTGTCAATGAAAAGGCATGTATGGTCTGTATTCTGAGTATACAAAAAGCCAGGAGTCAAGGTTATAGATGAACTTAAACTTTTCAAATTTAAATATACATTTATCATTCTGCCTCTGAGAATAGAATGCCAGCAGGCACTTTATGAAATGCCACTGAACAGCAATTTAGCCATCAATATTTTCTCAGCCTAGGTGGTACAGAAAACCAGCAGCCGTTTCTTTGCTTCTGTCCTTGCATGTGGGGAAAAAAATATGATGGAAATAAGGAAATCTTGAACTTTTTTCGTCAATAAAGGGAAAGTAATTGAAAATGCCATTTTCTTCATGCTGTGTAGGCTTCCATTTTGGCTATACATTCACAGATCCCTAGTGCTAAGCTTATAGCCTTTTAAGTATTATGCCATTTACCACCACAAGCACCACCGTTTATATGAACTGTGTTAACTCCTTAAATTCAACTGATCTGCAAAAACATAAGGCATCTTCTAGAAATAAGGAAGTTCTCTTGTGGATTTTGGATACTAACCCTTTGCTCTTTAAAAAAAACAACAAAAAAAACCCCAAACCACCATCCAAACCTCTTAACATAATTCTCAATAGATGCACGTTTATTCCCATAAAGGTTGGGTTAATATGAATTATACTATTTTGAGTATTCTGTCTATTCATGAGCAAGGTGTAAGCATTAGCAGCAGCAGCCTGAGTCTCTTTGGTTTGCCCACTGATGACTAACCTCACTCTGAATGGACTACCCTTTTAAAAAATGAGTGCTGATTCAGTTTCCATGCCAACTCTGTCAGTAAGCAGAAAGAGTTACTCAAAACAAATAATATTAAATAATGTCTAGCTGTCTCCTGTTCTCCAGTGACTAATCAAAAAGCCTTGACCCAAGCCCTACAGAACCGTAGGTACAGCTCCTTTGCAATGCATCACTGGCATCTTCTGGGTCTGAAAGGCAGCCAGTGCTGCCTTAAAGCTTCACAACGGTGTAGGAAGCCCCCTTCCTAGGCGAGTTGGCAACTGCCGTGCTTTGCCTCCTCTTCACTTGCCCACATATGGGATGGTGCAAAGGAAAGAAGGCATGGCAAGAACTGCTCTTTATGCTACATTTATTTGTCCTTAAGGCACTGGCAGCACAGTGGAGACACAGCAGGCATCCCACGAAGAAGGTGGAATCTCATTCCTCCTGGAGATGCTCTGCTTCTCAGACAAAGCTGTGGCTTTTGCCCCACCTCCATTTTTTTATTAGCATATGCTTTTGTAGCTCAATATCCTACACAGACAGAGGTAAGATGCTTCGTTTTTGAAGTGCTCAGTATCTAGGTAAGAAACTTGTCATGAAATAGTTTATCAGGCAGTTAGTTTGTCTATTCAGTAAAGTACATGCTCTCAGGTACACTATAGCTGGGAAGCCCATTACCCCTAAATGCAGAGAGCCAGCGGCATGCAGGCAACTCTGTTAAAGCCTTTGGGGCAGCTCTACTTGGTTGTGTCCCTGGAGATCTCAGACCTGCCCCCCTACCACCTCTCCTTGCTAGGTTGAACTGACACCACCTGATCAAGCTACCGTGGAAAAAAAAACACAAACCAGATTTATAATTTTCCCTTGTACTGACTTAGGTTACTGTCTAGCAGGCTTACTGAAGCACATTTATTGAATGACACTTAGCCAACAGTAGAGCTGAACATGCACTGTAAAATCTCATTGCTTAAATAAATTACTCAGGAAATATCAGTGGAATTTGTCAAAAGACGCAGGTGCAGGGTACCCAATGGCCAGACCCAGTACTACAGTTTAACATTGTGCACTCCACTTTCTCTTATACTTTCCTCACCCACCTCCATCTCATATTCCTCTCTTCATTTTTTTTGCTAACATAGGACTAATTCTCTTCCATTCTACAGGCATCTCGTCTCCCTGTATGTATCAATCACACAGCTTTGAAACTGTAGCAACCATTTCTAGCAAGAGGACTGAATCTACTATATATATATAAAAAACAGGGGTTACCACAATCTGCGGAAGAAGAAAATGCACAGGTAAGACCTTTACCTGCACAGCAGTTTTTGCAAACTGTGGAAAGAAGCTATTGTTATTGGAGAGAATGCCCAGATTTTATTTCTCTCTTATAGACTCTTTTCCTTGCATGTGCCCAATAAATCACAAGTCCCCCACTATTATTTCATTTTACTGTGCAGATATGAGTGCTTTACCTCAAATACTTGTACTTTCTTCCATTCTGTGCCACATCAGAACTTGCAATAGAGTTAGGATGGTCTTCCCAGTCTCTTTTCCTACCTCCCCTTTCTGCTCAGTGCCTTATTAAGCTTTTCCAGGGAAAGCCCACTATTTGAATACTATACAGTTACATATGATAGGCAGAATGATGCATTTTGGGCAAAATTTTCAAATGTGACTATCCAAATATTTTATTGCCTAGGACAAACAACTCAAATTTTCATGGCACTGAGAATGTGCACATCCCACTGACATACCTAGATATTCAACTTCAAACACACACTTCAAGAATCAATGGACACATGTGGCAGCAGTACAAATGCCACAATACTTTTGAAATTCCATACAAAGCTATGTTGCAATATGTGCCAAGTTGCCATGTCACTAGATATGATTGCGTACGATAGGTACTTTTAAAATAATAATACAAATTCAATTAGAAACCATATGCATGAAGTGTGCTTCTAAAATAAATTACAATAATCCTTGATTTTCTAATAAGCCTACAACTCTACAACTACAGCCTGAAACTTAGTCGTCCTTCTGTGCAAAAGAAGAAAATGTAAGTAGGAATACTGTAGAAACAGACCTCCTGGCACAATGTCAGAAGGCCACAGGCACATAGGACAAAAACACTATTCAGGAAAGACTGTATTTGCCCACTTTGACTCTTTCTGTCAAAGCTGGTCTCCTTTCTAAACAGGGTCAATACTTTGAAAGACACATTTACTTCTGAAACCTGAGAATCTCAGACATATGCAAAATCATCTTAAACAGATTCAGAGATTTTGTTATTTTTTTTTCCCTTTTGCTGTTCTGAAAAGAACAAAGCCTTACAGTTTGAGATGACACTGACAGGGATATTCAGAGAGAGGAAGGTCTGTAGTGTTCAGCAGGCTCTCAGCATATAATCATGCAAGGCTTCCTGACTTGTACAGTTTCCCAATTGCCCTGAACCTGTCATTTATGGAAGAAGCTGCAGATGCTTGTCTTCCATGTCAAAAAACCCTGTTGTTTTCTTATGATCATCTCCTGCTTACCTTTCTGTCTCTTCCTCTCTTTCTACAGAAGGTGTTTCCAGTAGGCTTGTTACTGCATAGTCTGATCAGATTCTCAGAGATAAAAATGCTTCAGATAAAAGCAATAAAAGGAATCTTTTGGGCTGAGTGTCAGGGAAACACGAATAAGTAGATTTTCTCAATATGCAATGTCATTTGAAAGCTTACATTAGTTGGGAAGATCTAAGTGGGCAAGATCAGGATGGTAAAGGTTAAAAATAAGGCTTGCTCAGCAAGCTGGTATCGGGTCCTGAGTTTGCGAGGCATCAAGTTTAACAGCAGTATCAGCTATTTTGCTGATGACCTCAAGCACACGGAGTCACTCATACTTACACCTGGTTTATCAGATTGCTTTCAGAAGAATTAGTTCTCTTATCTGGACAAAAAGCCCTGAATCCCACAGACCTTAATCCCATATATCCTAATGATACAAACTGATAAATCAGGAAGTGGAGTCTGGCAAGAGCTGTCAGGCCTGTCTGGCCCATTCCACCTACTGTTGCATTTTGTTTTCCCTTGACAACTGCTCCTGTACAAACACTCAAAAAAATGAGGTGGTTTAAATACTATAGTAGCCCACATTGCTTGTGGTGGCACAACTTTACTACTATCACAAACTTTTGCTATCTCTTGCACCGGCGTTTTTAAGGTTCTGACAAATAGTCAGAAACTAACATAAGTGAACGCTTTAATATTCCATTTCATTTCATCATAACCTTTTTTTCTGAAAGCTTTTCTGTGACTCATTCCTATTTTCAGTCACCAATTTGTTTTACTGTTCTTTTGCCTTGTAAAAATTTGGTAGTTGATCAACCTTGTTTAGGGTCAGGGCCACAGGAAGCTGGCTAGGCTGCAAATAGTTTTATAAGGTAGCTAATCCTATATCTAAGGTTGCAGCTTCTGCAGGCAAGAACCAACTTGCTAATTTTGCCTTAAGCATCTTCATCCAAACTGATGTACCTTAGAGCTTTGGGACAACAAACCCACAGAAAAAGTCAAGGTACACAAAAAAGCCATCTTCTAAGACTGACGTTAAGAAAAATTATTTAGAACGTTTTAGCTAAGTATTTAGGTGGATAGCTTTTGTCTGGGCAGTTTATTTTTACGTTTTGTGATTTTTTTCAGTATAGATATTTTCTTAAAAAATAAGACTTTGTTTGAACATATCATCTGCGTTTCCTGTATCTTTGGATTGACACCTAGTATAATGTTGTTACTACATTTTACAATTATACAACATATAATGTTGTATATTACATTATACATGCAACTTAACAGATAAGGAATTCAAAATCAGTAGATACTGAAATGAGACATAGTGGAACAGGCTGATCAGATAAGCAGTTTTGTTACTACAGGGATGGTGGCTGTATTAGCCTCAGAGCCTTCTGAGTCTGTTTCACTGCCTCTCAGCAAACAGCGAGACATCAAACTAAGCAGAAGGAATGATGCAATTTTATGTCTCTCCTTGTGTTATAACGGCATAAATGTCTTTAAAACTTAAGTGCGTACATCTACACAGACTAGACTTCAGAAATTACTTAATTTTTTTCTATGGACTTTAACATCCTAGAATGTCAGTACAAACTAACCTACAAGGAAAACCCAC